TATAGGAATATATATATATATATATATATATATATATATATATATATATATATATATATATATATATATATATATATATATATATATATATATATATATATATATATTGTATATATATATATATATATATATATATATATATATATATATATATATATATATATATATATATATATATATATATATATATATATATATAATTAACAAATATAAAACATTTTCCGTGTTGATATACAGTTATATCAACACGAGTGGAAATTGGGAAAACGAGAAATTGTGTGGAAACACGACGCCCGAAGGGCGGAGTGTTTTCACACAATTTCGAGTTTTCCCAACTTCCATGAGTGTTGATATAACGATATATCAATACGGAAAAAGTTTTATATTTGTTTTATAATATAGCAATGTCAAAAGCCCGAAGAATAAGAAAAATTTCCGTGTTTACAAGCGGCGGAAAATTTCCCGTGTTGACATGGAGTTATATCAACACGGCTCTTAGCCAATCAGCGTTCAGAATTTACAAATGCTATATTATAAATATATATATTATATATATATATGTATATTATATATATATATATTATATATATATATATATATATATATATATATATATATATATATATATATATATATATATATATATATATATATATATATATATATATATATATATATATATATATATACATCCGTCTGACCGTGTAGCTCAGTAGGTAGACCGTCCATCTAGTAATGCGAAGGTCGCGGGTCGAGACCCAGCCGCGGCAGACAACATCTTTCTGCTTGCGCTGGGTATGGAAATTATATAATACACACTCTAGAACATTTTCATCTTAATATATATATATATATATATAACTACAGACGGTACCGTTTCGGCCTTTTGGGCCTCATCAGTGTAGTGCTGATGAGCAGGATGAAAGTAACCACTATAAATAGTTACCCTTTGATGTCTCACGAATGTGGGACATCAAACCATTGCCAGAGTGCTCAAACTGCAAGCAGTGAGCATGCGCACAATGCGTAAGCAGCAATGGCTCATCCTGTAGAGTGCTCAATATGACACAAAGGCCATAGAGCAATATCTAACTACAGACGGTACCGTTTCGGCCTTTTGGGCCTCATCAGTGTAGTGCTGATGAGCAGGATGAAAGTAACCACTATTAATAGTTACCTTTGATGTCTCACGAATGTGGGGCATCAAACCATTGGCAGAGTGCTCAAACTGCAAGCAGTGAGCATGCGTATATATATATATATATATATATATATATATATATATATATATATATATATATATATATATATATATATATATATATATATATATATATATACTGGATACTAATAGCTGTTTTGCGAAATTGAGAGCAATTTCAAATCTATTCAGTTTTTTTAAACACTCTGTCGGCACAGCAAGTCGCACATATCACCAGCTGCGTGAGAGAGGCAATGTTTAGCTTCGGTTTATGACCGCTATGACCAATATTTAATTGCAAAAAAAACCCAACGAATCGCTTGTTGTTATGGAGTTATAATGCACCTGAGCGTTTTTGGAAAGCACGGGATGTTCAAGTATCTTGAGGATATTTGTTATTACGCACGTCGCCAACAATAAGTGCATGGCTGTACAAATTAAATGCAGCTGCATACGTTATAGAGATAAGGGCAAAAAATGTTGTTGTCTTACTCTTTTGTTTACAAATTCCACAGCTCTCCATGATCTCCAATCAATTATTGTTCTCGACTATTTTTAGTTAACTGCCTATTGCTTATACATGCAGGTATTTCAATTAGCTGGGCTTGTAATAGTGAATTGGTCGAACATTCTCGATGCATGACGATATTAAACTTGTGTGTTGGAACTTTGAAGTAAAAGCTCGTTGGGATTAAAGTTGATTGGTATTAAAGACATTTTGATTTTGGGTGAGTTAGGTTTGTAATGTTAAAGAATTAACTCTAGAATACGCAGTAACACGTGCCAAAAGTTTGCTTTAGTTGAAGAATTTGCTTCCAATGCATAATTCCCACAGGCTGATAACGTTGCAGCAGATTGGTATGCGTAGGCATTTCCGCTAGAATGTTGTACCTTTCTTTTAATAACATTTCAGTTTGCGTGCGGGTGATGTTTCTCTTGCTTTTATCCGTGATTTCATTGGCCTTGTGCTGCGCATAGACTCATCATTTCACTGACAGTGCATTAAATATAAAAACAGTGTTGTGATATTTAATGCGTCATGCAAGAG